GATAAGAGTATAAAATTAGCCCACGCCCCGTGGCTGCCCGAAACTAGCCCACGCCCCGTGGACGCCCTGGGGCAGGCCCGACCCGGCCTGTTAACAATGTGAATATTCACATTGACATATTAACATTAACATTGATAAGAGTGTAAAATTAGCCCGTGACCCATGGACAGCCCGAAGCCCGGCCCCGGGCCGACGCGGGCCCGGCCTGTTGACAACGTGAATATTCACATTGACATGTTAACATTCACATTGATAAGAGTATAAAATTAGCCCACGCCCCGTGGCTGCCCGAAACTAGCCCACGCCCCGTGGACGCCCTGGGGCAGGCCCGACCCGGCCTGTTAACAATGTGAATATTCACATTGACATATTAACATTAACATTGATAAGAGTGTAAAATTAGCCCGTGACCCATGGACAGCCCGAAGCCCGGCCCCGGGCCGACGCGGGCCCGGCCTGTTGACAACGTGAATATTCACATTGACATGTTAACATTCACATTGATAAGAGTATAAAATTAGCCCACGCCCCGTGGCTGCCCGAAACTAGCCCACGCCCCGTGGACGCCCTGGGGCAGGCCCGACCCGGCCTGTTAACAATGTGAATATTCACATTGACATATTAACATTAACATTGATAAGAGTGTAAAATTAGCCCGTGACCCATGGACAGCCCGAAGCCCGGCCCCGGGCCGACGCGGGCCCGGCCTGTTGACAACGTGAATATTCACATTGACATGTTAACATTCACATTGATAAGAGTATAAAATTAGCCCACGCCCCGTGGCTGCCCGAAACTAGCCCACGCCCCGTGGACGCCCTGGGGCAGGCCCGACCCGGCCTGTTAACAATGTGAATATTCACATTGACATATTAATATTCACATTGATAAAAGTGTAAAATTGACTCGCGTCCCATGGGCGGCCCGGGGCGAGCCCGGTCCGGCCCGTTGACAATGTGAATATTCACATTGACATATTAACATTAACATTGATAGGAGTGTAAAACTTGTCCGCTGCCCGTGGCTATC